GCAGAAAGAATTTGACAATTTGTTGTTAGTGTTCACAGAATCTAAGAAATACTATTCAAGCAATTTACAACTACATCGATCACATATTATTCAAGAAGGAAGAAGGAAGACAGGCGAGTTGATGCCTTTGAACTGTGGTGCTGGCGTGGAACACTGAAAATTCCATGGACTGCCTGAAGAATGAACAGATCTGTCCTGGAACAAGTGCAGCCAGCATGCTCCTTGGAAGCGAGAATGGCCAGTGTTCTTCTGACCTACTCTGGTTATGCTGTCAGAAAGGACCATTCCCTGAAGCAGGATATCATGCTTGGTCAAGTGGAGGGTCAGGGAAAAAGGGGAAGGCCCTCAACGCGACGGATGGACACAGTGGCTGCAGTGATGGGCTCAGGTACAGCAAGGACCGTGAGGCTGGCACAGGACCAGGCAGTGTTTCATTCTGTTGTACTTGGAGTCGCTTTGAGTTGGAGCCGACTCGACGGCACCTAACAACAACAACACGAGAACAGAGTGATTCTTTCCAGCGCTTCAACGGAAAAGTCTCCAAAAAACTCAGTTCTGCTATTAAGAAGCTTCTGTACCAATCTGTGCAGACTTCTCAAGGAGAGCAGTCACCCCGAATCCTTGCTGGCCAGCAGCTGCAGCGTCTTTACGTGCTGGCTGATGGCAGCCGCGAGGCCAGCCTCGGGCGGGCGAAATGGTACCTTGAGGTCTCTGTGAATGATGGGCGGCTTCTGCTTATGCATGTGCTGCACTGCTCTGCACGTCTGATAAAATATCTTCAGAACCGTGTCGCACGAGAGAGGACCTCGAGACTCAATTTTCTTTATAAAATCCACCAGCTGTCCTACAAGAGACAATTAAATGCACATCACCACAGAGCTAGAAATGGCAGGACCTCCCTGGCCAGCTGGGTGAGGACACCCTGTGCGGCCCTCCAACCACCACAGACACAGTGCTGCATGACATGAGACCACAGCCCAGGCGCCACTCTGCCTCGCACGGGCTGAGTCAGAGCCTGTCACAAACAGGCGTGTGGCTCCCAGAGGTGCACCACCGCGCACAGGAGCACTGCTGCGGCGTCAGTGTTGGGCCACAGCTGGGGCCACGAGCCACCAGTCCAGGTCTTTCCTCCAACTGGACTATGCTCAGAGAAGGCACTTGATCAGTTGTGTTGCTTCAAGGAACCTGCCCGTAGAAAGGTTTGCTCTGTACAAGGAAGCTCTCTGTTCACGACAGTGCAGACCACCACCAGGAGTGGGCAGAGGACAGCACCTGGCCCAGTGGGATAGGCAACGGCTGTCTCAGTGTAGAGCCTTGAATTAAACACCCCCTGCAGTAGCTCTGTAGAGAAATGGGTCTCTGTGCACAAACGCCCCAGGCCACTGACAAAATACCAACCCGAGCAAGTCGGGTATGCCCTCGTTGTGAGAGAGAAACTAGAAATGTATTTTTTCATGTATCTCTAATGAAATGATCACCATATTTTCATAAATAACGAAGGGTTGATAACATTAAATTACGTTAAATTTTAACAA